AAATTTAACCCAGCTCTGGAAGCATAGAAGGCTTTCTGAAGGATAAAAGGTATGTGTTGGCATCTAAAGGTTTGAGTCAGAGTTGAGCATGTATGCAGTTGGAGTGGGAAATGCTTTCCAAGTACAAAGGCAGGAAGATGTACAGTCCGTTCCTGGGAGCCGGCAGCATGGTTGGTCAGAATGGCCGCCAGCGTAGGGATGGTGGGAGAGCAAGTGAATTCTCTTTTGTTTGTTTGTTTTTCTGGCAGTACTGGGCATGTTGCCTAGAATTTCACTCCCACTAGACATGTGCTGTGTCCTAGATCTGCCTCTAGGACCATCTCTCCAAGGGCCTCATGCATGACCTTGAGAAGGGTGGGAGCCACGGAAGGATCCTCAGAGGTGAAGTCATAGTCCTCTAGATCTGAATCTTGCTGGCTGGCTGACAGTCAAGGACACTGGCAGTCTTGGAGTGTTGAATTTCAGAGGTTAGCTTAAACCCATTAAGATTAGGGTTGCCTTGTGTTCCCCAGGGGTCTGAAAGCGGCCCTGCCTGACTAGCTCTCCAGGGATGTGCTCTGAAAGTGCCGTTCTCACTTCAGACACACAGTGTGGTGACTGTTTTAGATGGTTGTGACCAGAAACAGCTTTCTGTAGTGGTGAGTGTGGCAGCTCTCAGGCCTGGGAGGCATAGATCTTTCTCCCACCCCCAGAATCACACTGACCAGTGACTTCTCTGTGTTCCAAGGTAGACTGTACCTTTGTAGATTGTACCTTCCTAAAAACCATCTCAGCAATTTCCAATTCTAACCCCGGTTCTCAGTTCGCTCAATGCCCAGTTCTGCTGTTTAAACTTTGCGGAGCTTCACATTTTCAAGAAAAAGACCCCAAACATTTTATTGTAAGTGTCACAACAGTTTGAGAACAAGAGGAAGTTGTGTCATAATTTTCTAGTAGGTAACAATTTGCCAGCCCCCTAAAATCTAATTTTCAGGAATAATTTTTTTGGCGCTAAAAGTAACATTTCCCCATGTAATAAGCCCCTGTAGGAAGTAAAACTTACTTCAAAATTCATTTTAAAATCATTTTGATGTTTTATAGTTGGTTTGAAAGTTTTCATTTTGTGTATTGTCTTCAAGGAAAAGAAGCTGGAAAATACAGAAAGGAATGGGAGAAACTCAAATTCACTTTACTGTCAACTAAAATTCTTAGTGCTATACATATATATATATATGTATGTATATACATATATATATAGTATATGTACAGCACTATGTATGTGTATATAGTACATTTATATACTATATATACATATATATATCCAGACTATCTATGCTATAGATATATATATATAGCATATACATATTTTACTCATGCAAGAACTTCATTTTTACCAAGTTATTGTTGCATTATTTTATATTATGCTTTTCCTCTTCGTAGTGTAATATTTTTATTTAGTCTTCAATTAGCAAAATCAGGGCTTTAAATACTGTCATAACCATTTCATTATGTATAACTTGTTGTGACTTATCTATTGTTTTTTTCTCGCTCTGCAAAATACCAGTGATGGCTCCCTCTGTATTATAGCGTTAGCTCTCAGTGATGGATGCTTAACACATTGCACTAGCGTTGGCTCTGGTGCAGCCTAATGTCTGTGGCACAGCGACAGTGGGAGCACATGTGAGCCTGTGTGGTCACGCCGTGACAGGTGGCTGGAAGAGGTAACAGGCCTGCTCTCTGAGAGAAAACCACTCTTGGGAGAGCTGATAGAATCCAGTGAGATTAATTCCAGCTCATGAGAGTGGAGCCTCCACGCTGTCACCACCTTTCAGCTTCAGAACACCGAGGACCCCGCCTCCAGAAGGACCTTTTGGGAGACACCCAAATCCTAGCACAGGGGCAGTTTATTTTTGCTAGTCATTCATAGTGTTTGTTCATTGCTTACTTGCATATTTGGTATTTTATATTATTACATTTATTTGTGTGCTAGTGTATGTGCCACAGCAATGTGTGAAGGTGAATGGGCAGCTTGCAGGAGCTAGTTTTCTTTTTCCACCCTGTGGGTGGGCCCTGGGAATTGAGCTCAGGTTGTCAGATTTGATGGCATGTGCCTTCACCCATTGAGCAGTTTCACTCTCTCTAGTACATATATTCTTACTAGCCAGGTTTTAAGGGTTTGCTTTTATCTTTATTTATGTGTATGTGTTTGTGTGTCTGTCTCTGTGAGTATATGCCATGTGCTTGCAGATGCCCCCAGAGGCCAGAGGAGGGTGTCTGATCCCCTGGAGCTAGGGTTGTAGGTGGGTTTGAGACGCCTGACCTGGGTGCTGGGAGTGGACTGGGATCCTCTGCAGGAGCAGCAAGCACTGGTAACTGCTGTGCCACCTTCTCACCAGCACCCCCAAGAATCATACTTGAAAAAAAAAAGCCCTACTTGGTTTGAAATTTTAAGCAGGAAATGACTGAAACTTCGAGCCATGAAAACTGGAAGGGCTCCTCTCCCACCTGCCTCTTAGACTGCTTCTCCTCCACGAATTCTTACTTCCCGGCGCATGTATCAATTTATACTTGTTTTTGTTTGTTTGTTTGTAAAAGTTATACAAGAGACTGTTCTTCAAGCTGTGTTTTTTAGCCTACCACGTCTCCTTTTTACAAAAATTGTGTGAGTGTGTGTCTCTTCCACCTTGCTTGAGAATGGGTCTCTGTTGTTGGCCACTGTGTCCACCAGGCTGTGTGACTCACAAACTTGTGGAAATTCTCTTGTTTCTGCCTCCCATCTTGCTGTAAGTACATTGATCGAGATTGCAGACATGTACTATACCCGGCCTTACATGGGTCCTGGGAATCGACTTCAGGTCCTCATCCTTAGACAGCAGTCACTTTAGCCACCAAACCATCTCCCTAGTCCTTATTCTTGAGACTCTTTCTTTCTCTTTCTTTCTTTCTTTCTTTCTTTCTTTCTTTCTTTCTTTCTTTCTTTCTTTCTTTCTTTCTTTCTTTC